CTGTGTAGAAAAAAATCCAGCGAAACACGTTAGCAAATATGTTTTTTTTTAAGGTTTATAACCTTAAGGCAGCATAAAATAATTATAATAACTATTTCGCAGAACAAAATCGAAGATCGAACTATCTTGTGCACTGTTTTCCCATCCAGTCATTACAAATATGAAACATATTAAAATCACATGTAGTCATAACGTATTGTGTTGGTGAGCCACACCGCCCAATATACATAATATTTTCACTTTGAGGTACACTTTACATCAATATATATTATGTAAATAACACCAATGCAAACCTATAAGATGTTTACATTGAATAAGAATATTTAAAATATATTATAAAATGCAAAAAAAAAAAATCTACCTCAAAATATGACATATACCGAGGATCATTCAAAATCTCTTTAGGTGTGCTCTGAAAAATAGAGTCTTCAGGTATAATAATTTTGGAAGAAACTAACCAAAGCATCCAAGTCAATTGAGAAATATCAACTAATTATTTTCGATGAGTGATGTAATCGCTCTATGGCAGACCTATCTGACTCACTCTGTGATAAAATGTACAGGTTTATCACTAACACCTCACTTGACGCCATTTTGAAGGATCCATAGATTCCAAGATTTTGATGAAGTTCTCCTCGTACATCTAGAAAAACTTTTTGTTGCATATTAAATACGTTATGAATTCTAATTGGGTGACCTGAAAATAACTCTTCAATCCACTTGCCTCATATAGATGATGATGATGCCATGTAAGGAATATGCACAATATATGAGTTATAATACTCATATAACAAGCATATAGTTGTTCCGATAATTCTTTACCAACATTGTCTTTCATTTGTTATTCATCATTTATCTAAAAAAACTAATGAAGCATCAATAGAATGATTAAATCGCATCAAATAAAAAAAAGACTCATAATATAAATATGAAAATGAGTTTGTTAGAAAATACATCAACAAGGCCTGATGAAGCGACGACAAAAAAGAATATTACATTCATACATCACAATTATTGAAAAAGTATGTAGTCAACCCTACGGTCAGGAGTCAAAGCACATAACTAACTCTTTGTTGGATTTTCCAACAATTTCATGGCATACGAATTTTGAAATTTCTCGTAATATTTTCATAACTTCTAGAACAGATGGTGGTGGTGCAAGTGATGTGCTAGGCCCAGGGGAATATTACTGCATTCAAAAACTAGTTGAGAAATCTGATTTTGTATAAATACAATGCCATTTTTTCTTTCTTTCACCCTTAGGCCGCAAAGATGGTTCTCGTTTTGTATGACTAAATCCAACATGTTCTATGACAGTACGTGTGGATCATTCACCTGAGTCGGTTTCGCACTCAAAACCTACAAGTTAAATTACAACAAAGTTCAGTCTTTGACTAGGATTTCATGCATGATCACTAGTGGCAATGACTTTACCAAACATTTGATCTACGTTCTCCTCTAATTTCTGGCCCATGCAACTAAATATTAATTTTTTCACGTTTGGCATGACCTATACCTTACAGAAAATAAGAAATGTTAAATTACTGCATGGTTTAACGTAAGTGTGCGTAATAGTCTCACTGAAAACATAATTTCACCTCAAGACTTTCTTTCCACCATTATTCAAAAGCATCAATAGTTCGCTTTGTGTTCTCTTTGTGTGATCCCAACAAAGGCATGTATAATACTTTCCATAATTTTCAATCCATGTTTAATTAATCCCACTTACCCTCTTGCCACAAGGTCTTGCACTTGTCGCTATAGTTTTTTATACTCCGCAGGTCTTAATCTGTATATTGGTCGATTTAATAACACAAATCCTAGTATAAGGTCGATGGCATGTTGAATGTCCCTTAATGGTAGTAATCCCTCTGTTAGTTTGTCGGTCATAACATTCCGAAAGTCCTGTAGTAACGGCTGCAGTACTGTTGGTATCTCTCTTTCCCCCTCGCTTCCTTTTAGGACTAATGCGAGTGTTACGGGGCATCTCTAACTACCTAAAGAAAAGTGGTCCGGGAAACTAATGTCGCCTTCGTATTATTCCCGTCTTTAGCATCCTTAGCAGGTAGTAAAATGATATTTTTTCCATCATCCTTATTTGAATGAATAAGTGTTCTTGAACCCATCGTGTAAAGTCTTGCGATCAAACAGCCAAGGCCTACATAACAGAATTTGGCAAATGTCCTTAGGAACCACATCACACCATACTTATTCATATAGTTGAATCAACTAGGTACTGTTGATCTACACGTATCTTGTTTCACTTCTTCAGACAGGAAAACGAATATAACTGGGGATGCTTCTGTGTGTCCAATCCTAACTTTTTCATCATAAGTGTGGACACCATGTTCTCGCAGCTACCATTGTCAATGATTAGGCTGCAGACCTTCCCCTTGATGGTGCGCTTGGTGCAAAAAAAGTTATGCCTTAACAAGGATTGGTCCTGCTTGGGCTCGGACAAGTATTAGTCGGATGACTAACGCTTCTGCTTCGTCTTCGTGGAGCTAAAGCTCTTCTTCTGAAATCTACTCTAATTCCTCGATGGTGCCTTGATCGGTGAGTGTGACGACTCGACTTGTTGGGCAACTAGAGGTTATGTGACTGTAGTCGTGGCACCTGAAACACTTCATAGTCGGCACTGTATTTGAGGAACCACTTTTCTCTGGCTTCTTCCCACTCTGATCTCCCTTATCAACTCCTTTTTCGATTATGTTATTTACTCTTGAGGCACTCTTATCGGCTGTAGAAGTTGCATGTAACTACTTGGCTGAAGGTGGTGGTCTGAAGGTCGATTGTTTCCTGGTTTGCTTCTACTGTCTTTTCACCTTCAAAGCTAATGTACGAACATCCCCCAATGTCCAGTATGGCTGTAGTTGTACCACATTGCCAATGAAGGGCCTTAGACCCCTAAGACATCTGGCGATCGAGTGCTCCTCTAGCTCTGTCAACTCGCATTTCAGCAGCAGTGATCGAACTGAGTCATAAACTCTTCAACTGATAGATCTCGTTGCTGCAAATCGTGGAGTTTGAGGAACATGTCCTAACAATACTGCGGTGGGAGGTATTTCTTCTGCATTACTTCTTCATCTTCTCTCACTTAGTTATATTTTCACTTCCTTCTCTCATCCTCTGTCTTTGTAGATTTTCCCACAATGAAGAGGCATTCTTCTTTAGTTTAGTTACAACTAGCTTAACTCGTTTGCTCTCTGGTACGTCTTTATACTCGAAGATTCGTTCGACTGATTGCCGCCAGTCAATAAACTCATCGAGACCCATGCTCCCTGAAAACTCTGGGAGGTTTATTTTGACGTCAAAGCCCTAAACCCAATCCCCTCTGTCCTACATAAGAGATCTCTTCTATCAACCTCCTATGATATTGGATATCAAAACTACGTGGCCAATATTCTTCGTCGTTGTGATCTTCCCTGTGGAGCGGATTAAGATCCTCGTCTCTACCTTTCCCATGACTCTCTCGATCACGGTCGAAGGTAATCTCTTCCTAGTTCTCGTCATCTAGCTCGACTGATCTCCGTTACAGACGAGGAATTTCATGTTGGATCTCTTCCCGAGCAGAGTCTCATGCATCTCTCCCAAGTTACATAACTAGAGTTGAGAATTGTAAGAAAAAAAATTGATGGAGGTCGATTGGGCAAGGACGGGTGCTGCGGAACCCTAGAATAGGACTAGGGTTGAGCTAGCTTTAAGACCAAATGATATCAGAACTACTAGAAGAATTAGTAGAAACACAAAAACAAACTTCATTAATATTAAAATAAGATTACAACATGTCTCAAACAAAAAAATAACACAAACACAAAACAACACAATTCCAATGGGTGGTGGAGGTCAGCGAGGTGGGTCGGGATGGCTAGCGGAGGTGGTGACAGTGATAAAATATTGTTGGCAGCGAAAGGAAATGTGTGGAACCGTAAGTACAGCGAGTGAGAAGGATTTTAGGTGGTCGACAGCGGTAGTGGTGTGGATGGGAGGAGCTTTAACGGAGTTAGGAAGGCAGTGCAGTAGTAATAACCGGTACAAAGGGGTAATGGTTGAGCGTCGGGGTGACGAAGGGAGAGTTCGGCTGCTGGGAAGAGGGAAGGGAGAAGGTTTGGAAAAGGTAAAAAAGAAAAGATATAATCACCATAGCGGAGAGGATACAGCCGAAGCACCACCAACTCCTTGAATACAACCCACAAAGGGGCAAGAGACTCCACATAGGAGATCTGAAACTCAACACACTCAGAACTGACTCTCACATACTCAAGGACAAATTTATCAGCTTTAAAGAAACTTCTACATAAAAGGGGAGAGGGGGAAGGCATGAAGAATCCAGAAAATCCAAAATTTCACCATTGACACCCATCTAGATCGCGCAGGTTCGCGATCCTCGCTCTCGCGCGGGTTCTCCCGCTATTGCGAGTTCCCGCGGGATCGCGATCTCGCTGTTCCGTGGGGCTTTGCGAGTTTGCGGGCCCCTTTCCCGCGGAAACAAAGCACCCGTATTGGGCGCAGCCCTAGCAATGTGCCTGCGTCAAAATGGTTCCACATGTACCCCAAGCAAACTCTCAAGCTCAAGATGTTAGGCGTCATGAGCAAGTAATTGATTTCTTACTTCTAAGCACAGCAAATGAAGCTCTGTTAAAAAATCCAATGGCATACAGTCATGCTTTGGAGTCATAAAATCATAGTTCCCAAGCAAACTATTATGGATCACTGGCCCAAAAACTCGTCAGAGTAGATAGGAAACAGGGAGGGGAATTTTTTTTTTCATGATGGATGGATAACATTCCTAGTGAAAAACTAAACCACAGATAGTATCAAACCAAGTAGTCTAAAACCTAGTTCACAGCATTCCTTTCAAATAAGACGTTACGAAAACAGATTATCTACTAAGATGACACTGGCATTTGCATAATAATTACCAAACCCTATAGAGAACTGCCTCTATCCTGCATTCATCCAAAACAATTCAGAACACCTCATTAAAGGTGAACTACATTTCACAGCATAAATGTTCTAAGATGCAGGAAAGATATAAGGATTACCTCAGGGAGCCTAGCTGTGAAAGGTGGGATCCCAGTTATAAGCTCAAATAAGATAACTCCCACTGACCACCAGTCTGCAGCATAATCTGTAGAAAGAATGTCCGAGTTAAATCTAACTACATGTAAATTGAAATAAAGGTTGAAAAGTGGGTTAAAAAAAACCATGTCCGGCTCCAAGAAGAATTTCAGGGGCCAAATAATCAGGTGTCCCAACAGCAGAACCCTGACTCTCTCTTCTACCCTGTTGAGTGCTTTCTGAGGAATCCAATGGAGCTGGTCCTGATATTGTAGTCGACATGTGGATGGCACTATTGATTAGTCCAATCTTTGACATTCCAAAATCTGTAAGCTGTTTAATGTAGGTATTAGCAAGCACCTCCGTAGAATCTTTTATGTACAGATTAAAATTTTGTAATTTATTATAAATTAATAAATAATGAAGGAAATATTTTAAAAATAAATTTTATGATAAGATACCATCTTGCCTAAATGTCTGTTTAAATTTAAATTCAAACAGATGAAGAAATCTCTAAGTTATAAAACAACAAAGATACCATGTTAAAAATTTGACTTCAAACCTTGATGTGTCCATCATTAGCTATGAGTATGTTGTCCGGCTTTAAATCACGATGTATAATTCCAAGTGAATGCAAATAATCTAATGCAAGAACCTGAGAATATAATAACATTACAATGAAAGACTTCAATTATGTAAATTGTTGAAGGATGGGTTTAGAGAAAACCAGTTCTGCTATATAAATGCGAACAATATCTTCATCTAAGCAACCAACTTTACGAAGTAGAGAATACAGATCACCTCCATTTAGGTACTCCATAACAAGATAAAGGTTTTCTCTACATGTGAACGAGTAGTAGAATCTCACCTGCAAAAAAAAATAGCTTATGCACTGTTAGCTGAAAAAAAATGATAAGCGGTTCAACTTAGAAGCGGAAGAGAGTTGGTAGGTAGGATTCAAAAAGAAACTGAAAAAGAGCTCAGGTCACATGGAATCGATCATAAGCAATATATAAAAGAATTTCAGTAAAATAAACAACCACTTAAGAAAAAATAAAAATTAAAGAACCAACCTTTTCAAGCATGGTTCATTGCAGTCCACACCACCAAAATAAGAGAGAAGAGGAAGGAGCAAAAATAACAAAGAAAGAAAAAGAAAACTGACAGCCCAAATCTAAAGCCACCTATTTACACATTCACATTGACAAGTAATGAAATAATGGAAAATATAGTGGAATTTTAAAGCACATTCTATGGCACGATACTATATAGCAAGAAATAACTAGGAGCAGCAAAAATACAGGATCGAGGAGCTAGGAAGCAAATGAATTCTATAAAACGATACAAGAAACAAAGATGCATGAAAAAAAAAAGAGAGCATAACATGCCATGATGGAAAGACACAATAAAGACTCAAATATTGCTGGTTAAAAGAAGCTAACTTGTATTTGATATGAAACTAAAAATTTACCACAAATGGATTTCTGACAGTGATCAAAATGTTACGTTCGGCCACTATACGCTCAACATCATTCTTCCGTATCATAGCCAACTTCTTCAAAACCTGGATCAAAAGCACTCTAACATCTTTAAAAAAGACATAAGAACATATTTTTCTCACATAATCCTAAAGTAAATTATAGAAGCACTTCAAAATGTATTTTTTTCATTATTCTCTAATAAAGACATCACAAAATGAAGTATGGAAGAATAAAACTTAACTTGGGTTATGAGGTATAATTAGAGTTATACGTACATTAATAATTTTATACTTCTCGTGTCCAATTATTCTCCAAATCATGTCGAACCCGTGTCTCGGTCAAAAAAAATTCAAACACATTTTGTCCTTCGTCGGACATGTGTCAAATGTGTCAAAGTCGTGTTCGGGCGTGTCCATGTCAGTGTCCAATAAGTGTCTGACACGGGTACGATGCATTTTTTAAAAGTATCAATGCTACATATGTTCAAATCAACCTAAAAGCTTGAATTTAATTCATTGAGGAGTGGATTCTTCTGTTTTACTATTTTTTCAATTATAAACTCATAATAAAGAACATTTTTTTTTATTTTGAGTTAGCATGCACAAAACAGACAATTATGACTAGTTGGAAGCATGTTGACACTAACCATACACAACTTAAATGTATTATGTTGAATCAAGTTGTAATATTGGCCTAGCCAGGTGCAGGTTGAAATTTTTAACTTTTTTAAAAGCTTGATGAAGTTTTGGGTTGGGCAATAATTGGGTCGAACCCAAACTCGGCTTGTTACCCAAACTAACAACTTTATTCGATCAAATCTTTAAATTTCAATTGTCACTTCCTCACTTCATGTATATTTGTGTTTCTGTTCGTGCTTGTGTGCGTTTAAACATGTGTGTAGAAAAATAGATAACCTATACACCTAGCAGAAAAGTTTAATCTTCACACAATTAGTTTACATTTTTGTCTAACCATTGCCTCCTTCCCTAATGCCCATTACACGTGTGGTTAGGAATGTGCGAATTAAGCTAATCTGTAATCCTTACAAAGTTGTTGTCCTTATATGGTTTTATGCGGAAAATTATTATTCTTCATGCAATTAGTTTCTATTCCATTATCTTCAACTATAAGATCAATATCATTAGTGTATATTACTGGTGTATATTTGCAGCCTAGAAAACAATTCAGAGAGATCTAAATTGATCAAGACTGTGAATAAGTTATAACTAACGAAAATTGAAAAAAAAAAAATGGATTTCTTGTACCGCCCTAACTAAAAGTACTAGTACTAGAGCAGTTCATTCATTAGGATTTCATGTGCGTTAGGAACCAATACAACATATAGCTCATCCAAAAGAACACGCAGGTCGAATATCTCATCATAGACCTTCAAAAAAAAACATGCAATAAAAATTTAAATTACATAATATACCCACAGTTGTCTCACAGGCCATCCAAGTGAGAGGAAATACATGCAAAAGAACTAGAAATAGAAGATTCACTATATTGAGATTCAGAATGGACATCTTTGCATAAATCATCAATACAATAAACAACAAACATTTTCACAACACAATGCAAATAAAATAACAAAAAACATACAATCGCTCCATTTAACCGACAACGATGGCATCCGTAATTCTCCCTCTCAACTCTATCATCTCCCATGCACCTTCCACATCCTGACTCCATGTCTTAGGCAAATCACTTTCAGTCTATGATATAGATTGTGCCCGACAATATTCATGTGTTTCAGCAGGGACATGTGAATGATATGATTAGACAGACTATTTTATAATTATATATGTAATATATTTGATTAATTGCAATTTTCTGAATCATTACAGCAAAATAACAGAAAGAGACCATGCTACACAAAAATCTTCAGTACAGTAAAAAATACTCTAATACATAAAAAAAATTAGTCATTTCATGCATATAGCAACAATAATGAGGACAATCAAAATAACCAACAAGCCTAGAATGACATTTGTATTCATGTCCTGGCGATTAAGTCTTTGGGATATTCTCCACTCCATAGTAGCATCTCTCTTGACCCGATTGAACTCCAGGGTGATGTCTTCTATGTCATCCAACAAAAAACATTGCAGTCTTCATGTGACTTGTTTCTGGGACAACACTAAAATCTCCTCCTATAGATTTCTAATAGGCACAAGCCCCAATGGTTAATTACCCCCTCTTGATAACAAGAGAGCACTTTCGATTAAGGGTAGTCATTTAATACTGAAAAATCAGTATATAGTAGCAACAGACAAGATGTTTAAAATTCTAAAATTTTTCACTTTGGTCTTAAAACAAATGATGAGGAAAACAATGACGAACCCAATGAAAATCTCATGGTTTTGTTGCCCCAGGCCATCATGATCTCTAATATACTTAGTCATATGAGGTAGTCGACCCAACACGATCGAAAAAATCATTGTCAGCAACTATGAGTTGCGTTGTTCAAGAGAGTATTGTAGATCTTCAGTAGATTTTTATCTAAGGATAAATTTAAAATGGCCTTAACTAGCATAACTATCTCAACCAAATAGATTTTAATTTTAAAAAAATATTAAAAAAACAAGAGATGAAAAAGAAAAAAAAAATTGATACTAAGGGGCCCTTATGTTTTTAAAAAAAATGTGCAAATAATTTTATTTAGGATAAAAAGACATATCAAAGATAATATGATAGAGTTCATGGGAAAAAAAAATTAGCAAAAAATAAATTGGAAAATATCCCTTTCAACAATCAAGAAAATAATTGGAGAGTAAAAAAAATAAAAAACCAACTTCTTTTCATGAATACTTCACAATGAGTTTTGATCTAATCTCAGCATTGCTTTGTTCGATTTTGATTCAATTTAATTCAAATTCAATTCAATATAAGATTGACTTAACAGATGACTCAATTACTTCAATTTAAACTCAAGAGAGCGAAAAATCATTTTATTACTTTTCAATGAATTTTAATATTTGAGATAAATTCCCAACTCTTATATAAATTGAATTTTTCATAATGTAAGAAAATGAACTCTTCAACCACTTCAGAAGAAATTTCTAATGTCAATCAACATTTCATTATACATATATTTAATATTCTTTTATTACACTTTGTAATATATGATAACAAATTATTATAGTATTTGATTATATTAAGGCATGGGGTCATGTATTGTTTGTGAGTTTATACAGTCCAATAATGGCCATGTTCTTGAGAAGAAGTTATGAAAGAAGATGATGGATATTATTGTCAAAGCCTCCCACTATGTATTTTCATTGGATTCCTTGGCGACCTGGAAGGCTCAAAGAAAGGGTCTCTGCTTCTTAATAATGAGAGAGAGAAAGAGACAAAGGTCTTTTTTAGATTTCTCAGAAAGGCCCCTTTGTTAGAGATCTTATGACCTCACTTTTATACATGAGAGACAAAAAATATAAAATTTTATTTTGTACAATATTGTGTCTGTCCTTAGTGTCTTATTGAAAAAACCATGATGTGATGTTCAGGTGGTGCCACAGATGTGGATGGATCCATGTATGTGTAATTATGTTCTTATCTGGTAGTTGATTTTTTTCGGGCTTGATCGACCACTTTAGCAGGTGACCTTAGCTTGACCACTCCAGAAGGTGGGCTTGACTCTACCACTTTGGAAGGTGGGCTTGGCTCAACCACTTCAGTAGGTGGGCTTGGCTAAAAAATGATCTGATCTTTGGAAATAGGTATTCAAAGACCATAAGACCTATTGATTCTTATTTGTATCAATCCAGAAAATACTTATTTAAGCATATGGTTATATATGGGTATGCATTTAGTTCTCCAATTTTCATGGTTCTTATTAGAGACTAGGAGAAGAATGAATATGCTTGATATTGTATAACTATGACAATATTCATTCAATGTCACTAGTTAACTCAGTTTAAAAAAATTTTGAGGCACAAATGCAATATGATTCATAGTTAAATTTTCCTTGAATTTTGGGCACCTTGGTTGTACTATGAGCAATTAAACCATCTTATGCTCATCTTTGAGTCAAGCTTGAATTTTGCTTGGGGCACATTGTGCTGCACCTGCAATGAGTTGTCTCTTAAGTTTTTGGATGAATGTGATCACTTTGTCCTTGGTTCCTTGGCTCTCCTACGGGAAAGAGGTTATTTATTTATGAATGAGTTTATTTATTTATGAATCTTTCGTTTTGTTTGTTGAGACAAATGGTCTAACGCCCAATTAGAAGGGAGGTTAATTATATGAGTTGTATTACAATGAGAATTGGTATTTTTCTAGTAGAGTTGGTTTTAAGTTTAAGAAGTTAACGTAGCAAGAGTAGGAGTCGATATTTTCTTGTTCTAGATGACATTATTTATGAAAGAATAAGTGCCATTTTATTTTTGTCATGGTCTCACATATATGTTTTCTAAACATCTCCTGGTATGCCATTATGTTATCCAAAGAAAAAAATAATATCAAAAAATAACATTAATTATGATGGATAGCAAAAATTTTAGAGTGTACACCCTTCTAAACTTATAAAAAGTATTTTTTGGGAACCATAAGTTTCTATTTCGAAAAAGTTTAGAAGAAGAATGACTCCTTGCTACAATTTTTTGAAAGTCCACCATTCCGCGATGGATGAGGCTACCATTGAAGGGATGAAGATCTCAAAGTCACGCCTTCATGCTAAACTTCAAAAACAGAGGATGAAGGAACTTTGGTCTATAAAAGAAGAATCACATAATTAAACCAAATATTCTAGAGAGTGGAACGTCACATAGGAAGATATTTATCGTGATCTTCTTGTAGTGACCTTGAAGGTGTGAGAACTGGTTGTAGGTGTAATGGAGAATGTTGTCCCAGGCTGTGGGAAGAGGTTGTCACCATATTAGATTTATTTGTTGAGAAGAATTCTCTTGATTCAAATGATCTAGCAAAAGGTAAATCCTTTAACTCATTCAGATGGTAGAGGGAAACTGGTTACATGGCTTTTGATCATGGTTGCTTTGGATTAATAATAATGCGTATGAATTATTTTGTTTGGTTGAAATGCAGATCTATTCATTGATCAACAGATTGCTTTAGAAGATATGTTTGGGGAATTTGATTCAACTGTAGGTGCTCCTTTAGAAGGTTGCACTGAGAAAGGCAAATTCTCAAACCAAGAAAGGTTGGTTTGCTTCCTAAAGGTAACACGACATTATTTTATCTGATTGAAGCTTTTTCTCTTATTGAGTGTGATCTAACTTTTCTTTCAGAGAAAGAAGGTAAAAAAAAAATTTAGATGGCTTAAAACTGGGCGATGCCAATGTTAAGCCTACATCAGAGGCAATCGCATCGGCTATCGAGGAAAATTTGGATAGAGATGTCATTCCTTATCCTGAAGTGGTGTTTTCTCTGATTAAAGGTACCTAGAGTGATTAATCAATGATAAGTACCTTGCTTGTGCTAAAAGCGATCCATGCTAGTGAGCAAGGTGATCTAAAGTGTCACTTAGTCATGTTAGAGGAAGGCATGTAAGAGGACGAAGAAAACTTGTGAGATGTAAGGGAGCACATCGCCAACATTGAGACCAAAGAGTTGGAAACTAACTTGAAGTCATGAGAATGAATCCATGAGTTGGAGGCAATGTTGGAAGAAAATTTTGCTTTCACTCAATAGAAATTGGTGGTGATAGAGACGTAGTAAGCTAAGAGGGTTGATGGTACATGCCAACAAGAGGCTGAAGATAAAGATGATTGTGCTCAAAGGGGTTGGTCAACGGGTAGGTCAAGAAAAACCTAAACATGTAGAGATAGTTTGGTTGGGGCTCCATGTATCTGTCATTCAAGAATGTTAAAAACATGGATCCACTAAGCTATGAAGGCCGTAGGTCAAGAAAAACCTAAACATGTAGAGATAGCTTGGTTGGGGCTCCATGTATCTGTCATTCAATAATGTTAAAAACATGGATCCACTAAGCTATGAAGGCATTCCACTCAACCTAGGTACAGATCACTTTGTCAACAAACCATGTGTTGCATTGTCTAATGAAATCAGTGTACATGAAGTCAAAGGAAAGAAATGTTTTAGCTCCCATGACTCTATCTAGACCAAAAGGGTAGAACGGAGATAATGCGTGTTAGGGATATAGATATAAAAACTATAAGGAAGAAGAAAGAGGCGACCTAGCTAAAAAAACTAAGTTATCCCACAAATGACCTATAATCTCATATGGATCAAGAGTGCCTCTAACACCTTGTGCCATATTAAACAGTAACGTATATTGTGTTGGTCATATTAAAAATTAAGAATACTTTTTAGGAGTGATGTAATATATATGCAATGAGCTAAGACATCCTAAACGTGGAGGCCTCATTAACATATTTTGGGGGTAATATCCAAGTATTTTATGATTAATTCAATACTGGCCTAAAAACCATGCAGAAACGAAAGTACATGAAATAAAACAACAAATTTTAAAATCTTGATTTTTATAGCCCTAAATTTTATTAAGGATAAATCTTTTAAGATTGCATTTTATAACAAAGATTCTATCTGAAGGAGTCAAACAATGATCATAACCAAACAAACCAGAAAACTGAACATATGCACGGTGCAACATAGGAACAAACTCAATGTAAAAAACATATGATCATGAGATATTAGACTTACTATAATTTTAGAAAAAAAGGTAATTGGACTCTGCATATACATACCTA